TTCAACAGACTATTGCGAACTAAATAGCTGTTTAGCTTCTTATAAATTAACTTTTCAAATATTTTCGATAGAATGGGCAAAAGAGTTATAGGCCTGTAGTGTCTCGGATCATGCCGATCGCCAGATTGGATTTTTTCATTGGATTTTGGATTTTTTCATTGGATTTTTTGACTTTTAGAGAATGTACGGGGAACCCTTGTTGCCTGAACGTCGTTTACTGCAACAGAAAAGATAGATCAAGCATTTTCTGAAGAATAAAACTGAAATGGATTCTCTATTTTCAAAGACATTTCTCTTAAATTCACAGAAAAAAAGATGTATACAGATTCTGTATGAAAAAAGTAATTGAAATCCAATGAGAACAAAACAAAAATTTGAAAAAAAAGTGATTTAGGGTAGATTCGAACATCTAACCTTCCACCATCCTGAATATTAAGAAGCACAAACTCTCACACTTGGCTATCTTATAGCGTTCAGCACTAGTGCTGCTTTTTCCCCCTTGGCAGACTATGGACGTCGCAACTTGTGCGCAGCATAATTGCTCTCTAATTTAATATCTAATATGGATGTATAAATTCGTTCGCAATAGGAAACAGAGACCGAAATAGGTTATGTTGGGCGATTTCTCTATCGTCAAAAAGTCTTTTCGGGTCAGATAGAATCAATGAAACCTTTCAAAAATTTTAAGGTTCGAGTCAAGCTGGACTGAAAAACGAACCAGTTTCGGTCTCTGATAGACAAGAATCGCTTGAAATGTGAATTATAAAACCAAATAAACTTAGAATTATGCATCGTTCTAATATCGACTGATATAGCTGAAAAACATGCTCAATAAACGCTTCATCCACAAACATCTCTAGTGAGATTTTCCTTTATAATTAGAATTGCACGTAATCGTCATTAGAGTTCCTTTATTAAAGAAACAAAACTGATAAAATAGTAGAAAACTATCTTTATAACAAAGACATAAAACAAATTTACAATAACAAGATAAAATTAATTATCACAATTAATGTTTGTTTTCTTCTTTGTAATGTAGATCTGCAATTGTCGCACAAGCACGCGTCAACGGTAATAGTATAAGAAGACCAGATTCACCACCCGCTGCACACCATGTATGAGAACCAAGATTAGGATTAAAACGAATCTAAAGTATGTAGAAAACCGCAGATGAAGATGTCAAGATAGTCTCCATTGAATGATTATATACTTTATGCAAGGCATTCAAAGAATAACTACCAGCTTTGCTAAAATCGTCTTGTTTACTGACAAAATTTGACTACAAATGGAAAAAAACGAAATACTTTTATTTCTACAGTCAACGAAAATAATATAATATTCACCTCACAACAGGCATTTATATTCAAAGAATATTTTTTGATTAATTCAGAATACGCGCCTTTTTCATAGGTATCATCACAGTCATTATTTATCGATTCATTTTTACTAGTTGTAAGTGAACCTTTTTGATTAACTAAAGAATAAATAAATAACAGTTTTAGAGAATAAAGCCATATTTCTTAAAAATGACATTTGTGTCAAACCTTGTTTCAATGGCGATGATTTACTGTTCGAACTTATTGATTGTTGACTGTCCCTTGATGATTTTTGCAAGAATGATGGTATATTAAGAATTTGCTAGAACAATAAAATAACGTTGTTAACAATTCATTTTCAAAATTAACATGAAACTCATACCACACGATATTTTGTTGAACATTCATTTTTTCTTGTCCAACGAACAAAATTTGTTAAACGATAAAAATACACGTGTCCTAAAATAATAATCAAACAAGTGTATTTTTATCTCTATTTGCATATACATACCATTTGAGTCACATAAAACAGCTGAATCAAGCCAGTCGGAATAATCAACACTTAAAACATGATCAGGTGTCGGTTGAAAATAAATATGTTTTGGATGACTATTGTCAATATCGGCACATGCTAAATAAGCACTCATTCGAGAAAATATCCTACGTACAAATATTATAAATGGTAAAATAACCAACAAAGAAAAAAATGTACCTACGGTGTAAATTCTTTCACACATAATAAGTCACCGGTCAATGTTCGTACAGTACATTCAGTTCCACTACTTTCAACATCAATTACAGGTTGATGACTATCGTTCATATCCCAAACACTACAATAAAAAAAGACTTGTCAGTGTTGTCCTGTCGGGCAAAAATGTGAAAACTTTTATCTTTAGTTTCTAAGAAATATTGTTAAAATATAGTAAACGCTAATACCGCGGCAGAAAATCAATTCAAAATCAACAATAAATGGGTTGAATCACGTTTAAATTGCGTTTTTGTTGCTGACTCTCTTCATAAATTTTTCTAGACAGTACCTCAACCACTCCCAGACGTCAGCCTCCAACGGGTACGTTAATATCAAAGTTAAGGACACCTTTATTCAATAACGCGTTTCTATTAAACTGTAGATCTGACCAAAGTCACATATATAAATCTAAATCAGCAATATATCTGCTAATCTCCGGCTCTATAGAGAGATGTGCCACCAGATGTCACGAGGGAGAGTGTCCCGTGTCCATCCCGGTCCATATTAAGTAGAAAAGCTGAAATGCCTTTTTCCCAAATAGCGGGAGATGTACATCAATATATGAACTATTGAACGGCATTAAATGTTTGTTTCATATGTATTGTTTCATGTGCAAAAAATACCTGAGAAAAGTCACAGTCGAAAACTAGCCCTAAAACACATGGGGGAGTGGTGACCCTAGTCGAGACTCCCGGTAAAACTCCCACGGGACTCCTGTCACGAGGTCCTGCGGGATCCTGCAGGATCCTGTAGGAGTCAGGTGGGACTTTCAAGGGATTTCTCAGGACTCCTGACGACTCCCGTGGGACTTCTGTGGAAGTTTCGAGTCCTGCGGGAGTCCAACGAAAGTCCTCAGAATCCTCAAAGCCTACGGGAGTCTTCAGGAGTCCTGAGAAATCCATTGAAAATCCCACCTGACTCCTACAGGATCCTCCAGGATCCCGCAGGACCCCATGACAGGAATCCCGTGGGAGTTTTGCCGGGAGTCTCGACTAGGGGAGAAGGTTTCTGTTATGGTAGTCGATAAACTTCAAAACAAAACGACATAGATTCTCGATCTAGAGGTCCTCAGCTATGAACTAGTGAACAAGTAAAAATAATAGTAGGTTTCAACTAATGAAGTTTCTGAAAACATAGGTTTAATGCACCTTCCAAAATCTTCAATCTCGCTCAAACTTCAATTGTTGCACAAAATTCTTCTGTCTATGCTGCATCTATGATCTTAGTGGTGAATAATGTCATCGTTCTTGGCTCTCGCTATAGGTTTTCCAAAACCTCCTAGTTTCTTCAAGTAAAATCTATTTTCTCAGTTCAAGAACACTTTTAGGAAAAAATGAGGTCGTATTTGGAATTAGCACGCAAAACTGCAGCGAGAAGAATAAACGGAAAGTGTAAAAACCATAGTCACTCAATAAAAAACCTTCTATAAACTTCAGCCCTCATTTTTTCCTTCTTATTAAGGAAAAAGTGTGAAAGTTTTTTCAAAAACACCGATCAAAATACTGCTTCTGAAAACACACAGGTTTTCAACCTTACCTAAATCGTTTTGCCATTCCGGAAACTGTCATAACAAAACTATCGGATTCATTTAAAAATTTCACATCTCGAATAGGTGTAAATGATATTTGAATTGTACGTATAGGCCAAATTTCTTTTTCACCATTTTTATTCTAAATGAATAATAAAAGAAAATATTTATTATTAATAAAAAAGTATTAAATAAGAATTGAATGTATTTACTGTTTGTGTGAGATACGAAGCGGTGATATTAACATTGAATAATGCAATATAACCATTACTGTATGATGAAATTATTCTTGATGGATCCAATTTACTCCAATCAATTGATAAACATTGTGGTAATGAACCATGATGATTTAAAGATAATTTTAATTGTTTTGTTGAGTTATAAAATGGATACACTGTTGTTGTTGCTGATTTATCTGACGATTGCTCAATAATATTATGAATATAAATATGACCAGAACTACACGCAGCAGCTAAATATCCTAAATCATTTTTATTATGTTCATGATTTTGATATGGTGCCCATTTTAAATTCCAAATAGCACCGGATTTTTTTATTGGTAAATAACAAACGAGTCGATAATGTTTTGGATATGTACATGTTTTTATATCAGACAAATCAAATTCCCATAACTGAATACAATTTTTATACGTATAATTTTCGTTATAATAATGTTTATTAACGAGAGATGAACGTGTACCACCAACAGCTAAATATTGTTTATTTGACAAAGAATTTGTTGTCGGCATTGTCAACCAATCTATTGCATAAACAGGATTGCCCGTATTTAATGTAAAAAAATTATTATGAATAATAGACTTTAATGATGACAAGGATATTGTCGATTTTATACAAGAATTTTCAATCTATATAAAACAAAAACAATTAATTGAACAATATTTGATAAAAATAAAAAATTTCTATTCATACATCTTTTGATAGTAAAACAGCATTATTCTGTGACAAATAATCATGGATAAATGTATCATCAGTCACATTTTCAATCTTAATTTCGTTCTCATTATTCAAATAATCAATTCTACATTCTATTTTGGTACTTTGTTGTTGATGACGTAATTTAAGTGCTATATTAAATGCATTTTCATTTAATGTTAATGGATGAACTTGAGAAAAACAAAGAAAAAGAAAAAGAAATAATAATTATTTAAATTTATCATTAAATCAAACTTACGTGGAATATTTCCATTATCAAGATCATTTCTATAATTTTTCCATTGTTCACTTTCTGTACCAGATGATATAATTGACTGTCGTTTCGTTGGTGTTATTGTTGATTGTCGTGTTTTGGAAGTAGTTGTCGACAATTTTTCTACTTGTTCATTGTCAATGGAAGAAGTTGCTGACGAAAAAAAAAGAAAAACGTTCGATATTATCAGTTTTTGTGATCAGTAGAATTTAAAATCATTTTTAAATTAACCTTTTCTCGATTTGACCGATTTCCGTCGATCATTTTTCTGCTGTGGTTCAAATACATCTGATCGATATGCTAATTAGGAGAAGAAGAAAACAAAATTCTTATATTAATGATTGTATGAAAGTATTTCTCATATCCAATTTGCAGAAAACTATGAAAACAAATAATTTGAACATTTACGCTTAGCCATTGAACATGTTGATTGCCAGTGTGCATCTAATTTTTCCCATGTTGAATATTTTTCTTTTTTATTTGATGGTGCACAATCACAAAATGGACATTTTTCAACAAATTTCATTTTAGCAAATTCTTCTTTACATTGATTTGATAATTCTATTGAAAGTATAAATTGACCGTGTGCTCTATATTGAAACTAAAATAGAAGAAATTAATTTTTATCTTTTTTTTTGTTTTGTCTTTTCATTTTAGTTATACCTGATCCTGTGATGCAATTTTTAAACGTTTTCTTTTTCCATCATCTTCTTCATCCGAATAGTCATCGTCATTGTCATAATGTTCATCATCAGAATTTGAAATTTTTCGTTTCTAAAAAAAATTTTTTATTTGTTTAAAAAAATTATTTCTAAGACAAATAAATATCAAATTTACCGATTTTTCTCGTTTTTTGGGTGTCTTTTTTATTGGTTGTGGATCATAATGCTATATAATACACAATATAGAAATACTTTTTTTTAAATAATAAATACATAAAATGTTAGTTATATTACCTCATCTCGAATATGTTTTCGAACAACATTGACATGTGTATATTTTCGACCACAAAATAAACAATAACAATTAGTTTTTGGTAAATTTAAATTTTGACATTTATTATAAACATGATAGATAAAACCTTCTCGTGATATAAATGTACTATGACATAATGGACAGGTAAAACTTTTCCCATTGACAGATGAATATGATAATAATTTTGTTATATCCGGTAAATCAGGATAGGCATAACCAATTTCATGATTTAATAGATTCCATGCTTCGGGTTTAAAAAATTGTGGTGGTAATATTTGGTCGAAAATTTTTTTTAAATCACCATTATTTTCATTCTCATTTTTATCATTTCTAAAAGCAGAAGAACCTACAACTATTATCAACAATGAAATTACACATACATCAAAAATTATCTGTACAGTATAGAGTTTTGAAGTGAGTGAATCAGAACTTTTTAAGGATTTTGACATGGACTTTTTACCAAACTATTCCTCGTCATGTCTAGTATACTGTAAAAAGAAAACGGTTTGAATTCCAAGTGGTTTTAGATTCGTTTCGCAAAACTAAGAATTTAGGTTTTTTTTAATGGCCCAAAATTATCCGTACAGCAGAAAATATTTGCTTTTTCTCGTTCAATAATACATTTGAAAAGATGCGAGCGATAGCATTCGATAACTGGCTTCCTTAGCAACATTCTGGAAACAAAAGCTTTTTCAAAGCGTGGTTATATCGGCACTGATGGTGTTCCGTTTTTCCGTGCGCCTTTCTCAATGAATTGCTTGTATGCTTGGAAGGCAATGTGATCAAAGGTTGAAGAGGACCTCATTTCGAAGAGTCGAATCTCTTCTACAATACTGCATAAGGAAAATAATTTTTTGGATGAGAAACTGTGGAGATAGAGTCAAATTAAAAGAATCTAGCACATGCGCTAATTCAAAGAACATTCTGAAAAACATGCAAAACGTTGCCATTTTATTTCTAAAACGAGTGTATTCTACTCAGATTTTGTCGCTCTTTCCGATGGCATGTTCAAACAGTTTTTAGGACTTCCTGTGCTTGAGATATTGTCATTTGACGAAAAACCGGTCGCTCGCCGGTTAGAGTCGAACTTTCGTGACCGAAACTACAAGCTCTGAAAAATTTTTTGTTTCCAGAATGTAGCTAAGAAAGCCAGCTATCGAACGCTATCACTCACATCTTTTCAAAATTTTTATTGAGAGAGAAAAAGCAAATATTTTTTGCTATATGGATAATTTTAGGCCACTCAAAAAACCTAAATTTTTAGTTTTGCGAAACAAATCTAAAACCATTTGGAATTCAAACTGTTTTCTTTTTACAGCATACTAGACATGACGAGGAATAGTTTCGTAAAAGGTCCATGCATAATATTGTTTCTTTAAAAAGTTCTGATTCACTCACTCCGAAACTCTATGCTGTACGGATAATTTTAGACGCATGTATACGACACAAAACACTGCTTACATTCCGGATGATTTCTGTTTTTTTGATGCATTCCCTCTTAGTTGTTTACCACGACGTTTGACTCCCTCTGTATGCGTAGCCATTACTAATCTAAAAATATAAGCAATTTTATCCACTATGTGCAAAATAAATGATCGACGTCAATTGTTTAGCTTTTAGGATGGAAGGTTATTCCAAATCTCAAATATAAAGCAATACACATTCGTACAATAAAATTTCTATTCGAAAAAAACAAGTTATTTCAAGATTAGATCGACAATTCATTGAGTTTGGCATACTACAGTGCACTAGTCTTTAATAGTTGCCTAAAAATGTAGTAATTTGTACACCGTGCGGTGAGAGCGTGTCAAGAAAAGAAAAATTTTAACTGACTGAAATTTTGTTTTACGTCTAGTGGTTTTATTTTTTACTTTCTACATTTTTTCAGCTTTCCTCTTAATATTAAATGATTCATAGTGAAAATCTCTCATTCAAACAAGTTGAGTTTCTCATAAAATTAAAAAGAATCGAATAAATTAATTTTTCTTTTATCAGTATCAAATTGATAAGTTTTATGGTGTAAAAAAAAGTGTACAAAAATATAATAAATAAGAAAGTGACAAAAAAAGTGTGAAAACTAGTCGTAAAAATATAATTTACTAATTCTTATCGAAAAAGAGAATAGATTTTATATTAACGTATGGCCAATTTGACATTTTTTTCTAATAATTTTTCTTTAATGTTCTTTGTTAATGTTGAACTCATTATTTGAGCTAAAGTTGTATCTGTAAATAATCTCGGTAGAACGTGAATACATTCATTTTCTAATGGATTAATTAAAATAGCAGCAATTATATCTTCTTGTGCACCAAGTATATCCTAGAAATAAAAACAAAATGTATATTTTTACATATTCAGTTGATCTTTGTTTATCTAATGTATAAACAAGAATTATAATTTGAATATAATTATTAATGATATGGTTAAACTAGTTTAATCTGTCTTGGTAAATGTGAGTCAACATGAATACTAAATAATAAAAATTGTCTTACATCCATTAAATATTTTACTCTAGAGCGTGATACATAATATTTAGCCACGGATGGATTAATATCAATCGCTTTTGTTAATTGAACACAGGATTCCTAAGAATTAAAGCAAATATTAGACTTCTACTAATAAATGGACGTTCAAATAAATAATATATTATTGATTAAAAACATCGATAAAAAATCTTACTGAATAATGTTTTTCTTTGTATTCCCGTTCAGCATTCATAAAAAACATATGAGACATACGTAATTTCACTTCATTCGTAGGCATAATTTCTAATGCTTGCTCATAATCTTGAATTGCAAATGTCGTCTGTGCTTTGGCTAGGAAACAATCTAAAAGAGAAAAATAATTTATCTAAAGTTTTCTTTTTAAAACATATTTCGATAGAATAATCAAACCTCCTCGATTCATATATAATTCGTATGTTGATTTTTCATCTTTAATTGCTCGATTCAACAATTCGATTGCTTCATCATATAAACCTTTTTCTAAACATTTAATTGCAGTAGCATTGTAAATAAAAACAAGTTGTTTTTGAGCTTGTTGATATAGACGATGTTGTTCATTATGATTTAATTTATCGAATACCAGAAGACATTCATCACTAGCTAATTCAAATTTTTTCATGTTACGATAAATAATACTTCTAAAATAAATAAAAAATGGGAACATTGAAATGACATTGTAGAATATTTTATAAGAAAATAGTCACTTTTGAAGATGATATTCAGCTTCGATTGGATATAAATCAATAGCTAATGATATTGATGCCAAGGCATCAGTCAAACGATCAATGATACACATGTGAACAGCTGAATCTCGTAGACCATCTGATGTTTGTTTTAAAGCGATCATCATTTTTCGTGCGACAACATGTGTTTCATCGAGTAACAATGCATCGCGAACATCATAGTAACATAAGGCCAGCTAAAAAACAACAATATCAATGTTTCGTTTTTGACAAAAACTATTTGACAAAAATTTAATTTTCTTGCCTATCATAAGTTGAGAAAACGATCGTAAGAAGAAAGTCAAGAAAATGTTAGCTTTTCATTGCTGTGTATTCATGTGATATTATACAAAAAAGTGTAATAAGGTGAATAGAGAAGCATTTTCATCGTCATCGCTAAAATTACTCGAACAAAGTGAAAAAAGTATAAAAAAGAAAACAAGTGAAACAAAGAGAAAATAAAAGATTCTTGAGAATTAGAACATCTGCATCTTGTATTAAGTATTTTTCTCTATATAAATAATAACATTAGATAGTAAAATATTTTTGACTACTATTTTTTTGCAATTTCAATCATTTGTTGATCACTAAAAAATGAAGTCAATTTTCGCTTTTATTTTCACAATCTTTGTTGTTACCTGTGTTCACTGCGCTGATGTTGATTTAGTAGCGGATAATATTCAATTTCAACGTGGACTTATGAGTATATGGGATGCAATTTAACATTATTCATAAATGAATCTATTTTTAAACTATTTTTATTCTATAAAATATGTTAACATTATTTTTGGTCATCATTTGTGAATGTTATCTTAGTCCATTTGTAACACCGATTGCTCATCATTTGGATACTGCTCTTGCAAATATTCATAATACCGGTACGAATGTTGTAAACACAATAACAGGTGCAATTGATACTATAACACATTTTATTGGCTCACAAATCAACCTCATTGGTAAACGAAGTGAAATGACACCATTACAAAATCTATTGTTAGAGTTAAAAACATTTTTAAATGAATTTAAACAAAGTATTATGAATATATTCCAAAATGTTCTGTCACATGTTGTTCTTCGAAATTTAAATAGTATCGTATCACTAGATGATATAAAACAACAAATTTTATCATTACAAACATTATTACAAACACATATTACCAATTTAAAGGAAATATTAAATACACTCAACATAAATTTGAATCAACAATTATTAACAACGGGTATGAATGTATTACATACATTACAACAAGCACTTAATTCCATAATGTCAACATTATAATGATAAAAATAAATGGAATTTTTTGCTGTTATTTTTGGCTTGTAAAAGATCAATAAAATATACTATATCAAAGTATTCAATACAATAGTAGAAACTTAGAATAATCACGATACTATTACTGTGAAAGATAATTATAGCGAGAGCATCTTAAAACTTATAATTCAAGTTAATTTAAACTCAAATCTAAAGAAAAAAGTTACTTTTAATATAACACTGACTAGTATGTTAATCTAATAAGAGATAAGAAATATTCCTTGACTAATACGGTTCATTTCGTTCAAGAGTGACTATCCACACGATGTATAATCGAATTAATTTATAACCAAACAATTGATATAAAAACTCAACAAAATACACGATACGATATCAAATAGATTGAATAAATATTCTTAATCGATTTTCTAAAGTAAAAAGTCAAAAATGTGCATATTATACCTTATTCTTTTCTTTATAGTATAATCGAGCTCGGACAATCAATAAATCTGGATTTTGTGGATATTGATCAATTATTTGACTCACTAACGTCGTTGCTTCATCGATTTTATTTAAGGCAGTTAAACACATTATACTGGAGAAAAGGAAGTAAATTAAACAGAAAAAAAAAAGACAATTTAAAATCTTAGACTTACCTGTATATTTGAAATGGTAAATTAAATACGTTACCAGAATTTGCTATAACACTAATAGCTTCTAAATAATGTTTTTGATCAAAAAATGTTATACCATGTATAAATTTCATTAAAGACGATAAATATATTATCATTTTATTCTCTCAAAATGTATGATTAAAACAAAAAAGGATATAAATATAGCGTAAAAATGATATTTTTTCATTCAATATTTTTTCTTCTTTATTAACAATTGGTTTTGATGATGGTGATTGTTCTTGATCTTTCGTTACTACTTGATATGATAAAATAATTTTTTGAAGAGTTAGTAAAGCACTTTGAAAATCGCATAATTCTAAATAAAGTTGTGCTCTCATTTCATAAAATTGACTATGATAAGGTATTAATAATAAACACTTGTTAATATGAACTAATGATTCTTCATAATCATGTTGTTCGATTCCTTTTAAAGCTTTATCAAAACTAGAAACTAATGATTAGAGTAAACATGAACAATTAAAAGTTACTTACAATGATTTACAATGTTGCTGTGTTACATTTTGTAGAGTAACCTTTAATCCATCATCTAAAATAATTCTCCTAATTGATAACTGAACTATTTATTAAGATTAAGTTAATTATCAATCGTTTTACCCATTGTCCATCTTTTTGGCAAAAGGCTATCATTCGGATAACGTTCATACATGTCTTCGTTCAATTCTGTTGAAAAGAGTTCATTCTAAAATAAAAAAATAAATATATTTTTTGATAACAAACGAATATATCATTCTGCAAGTCATACATGTGAACACTATTAAGCAGTGAACAACGTTATTCGAAAGAACAAACACTTATTTAGGACCACTTACAATTTCCTCTTCTTCTTTCGCGTCTTCACTAAAAATCATTTATTTTTTTTTAAAAACTATCTTGCTACATTTTTTTTTTCTTCTTTTTTTGTAATAATTCGTACAACTTACTTAATAATAGCCGCGGGCCATGTATAAGCTGTCAATTGTCTACGATTTTCATCTTCATTTTGTGTTGTATCATCAAAAGTAAGAAAATGTTGTCGACTTGCGCCAGCTTTGACGTTTTTAACATCTTTTTTATATGTTTTTGTCAGTGTTATGGGATCTCGTCTGTCAACCCTCAAATCATCGTACGAATCAGACATTAAACTGTTTGTAAAGATATTTTTCTAAAATAAATTTGACTATGATTGATCATTTATATTTGGGAAAAATGCTAACAGAATATTGTGTAAAATTTTTTTTGTAATAATCCAACTACCAAGATATGACAATGAAACATTTTAGTAGCTACGAAGAAATAAAGTACCATTTTGGTTATAAATGTGTACACGCATATCTTGACGTTTTGCACGAATAAAATCCATTTGCTAGTAACGCATTTCAGCAAGTAACAACAGAGATAACACGAAAACATACTATATTTCAAATATAACAACATCAATAACTAAGAGAAAATCAACTTAAACTGGTTAATAATTATGAAGTTGACGTTTAAATAACATGTTTTGTTTTGTAATCTTATAATGTCACGAGATTCAAAAACTGTTCAACAACAACAACAAAAAAACATATAAATACGAATTACATAGAAAGAGAATAAATTTCGAAGAAAACGATTTGTTTGACTATAATAAAGACATAAATGACTATTGCCAAGAAATTCTCTCCCTTTTACATGACAGTAAAAAAAATAAACAACATTTTCTCAGAAAGATGTTCATTTATGCTCTCATATTAATTAATCATTCTCATAAAGATAATTAGAATGTATGATGAGTGTACAACAAAGAACAATAACCAATTGTGTTCAAATATATTTATACATACACACCAAAAAAAGGTTATACATACAATAGGTTATTACAAAATCAACAGAATATCTGATGTCCAAGGTAGAAATATTAACTGAAAACGAGGAATAATGTTCTTGGAATGATAAAAAAAATATATGAGAGAGACAGTATATCCAGATCTTTCTAAAGAACCTTTAGAAAATTATCTATGCGCTAATGAGTAAAATACTTGTAAAAAGAGTAAGTCTCATACTTGTTTATGCGCATTCAGTTCTATCACATGTTTCTCACTTGAAAATATATAACAATTAACAAACAAAAAAAAAAAAAAAAAAAGAGAAAAGATCGATAATGATCAGTGTTTATGGGAGAAGTCACTGGGTTACTTTCTTTTTTTTAAATTAAACTTATACGTTTGCAGAAGACGATATGCTCTTCTTCTTTTTTTTTAAACATAATATTGTACAATGTCACTTGTTTGTTTTAAAATTTTTTGATTAAGTATATNCACAGTAATAGTATCGTGATTATTCTAAGTTTCTACTATTGTATTGAATACTTTGATATAGTATATTTTATTGATCTTTTACAAGCCAAAAATAACAGCAAAAAAGAGAAAAGATCGATAATGATCAGTGTTTATGGGAGAAGTCACTGGGTTACGTATAGAAATGATCGTAGGCACAACAAAAAAATATGTATGTACATGTTACATGTAAAACAACACTAAACAATTGTTTTCTATTGATTTTTAAACAATCAATAAGACTCTTACTAATGTTTGGCAACGTCTTGTTCTTCTAATCGTTTCAGTTCTTGTAATACTGGTATAGATAATAACATATCATGATCTAATTTATCCCACAAAATTTTAGTTGGTCTTGGAAATAAACGTTTTGTATAGATATATCTTCTTGGTGTAACAATTATATCTACAGGTAAATCATGTTCTTCCATCAGAGAAAAATCATTAATCAATTGACTTTCGTGGACAGTTGTAACCACAATTGTTTTTGAATTGACAGCTCCTAAAAAAACATAGATAATTTATCTATTTTGAACAATTTAATTCACTTAAAATAAAAAACTTACCCATTTCATTCATAATTGCGTACTCTAAATCTCCGTAACCTTTTCCTTTTCCAATGCGTGCTCCAGTTACAGGATTAACTACCACTGAGGCAACGACAACAATATCAACATGTATCTGTTTTAAAGCTTGTAATTGAACCACAGTGCCCAGTTCTGCAGCACCTGTTTTACTGCTTGCCCATTCTAATTCTCGACGTTGAAGAAACTTTGGATCTAATTTATAAAATAATGCTGAACCTAAAAATAAAAATAGATCCTCAATTAGCATTATTAAATTTACAAATGTTAGAATACATACCTAATGAAGGTGTTGGAGTGAGTAGAACTTTATTGTACAACAGTGTCAAATGTCTAAGTGGTTCTTGAGCTAGTGATGGATTTACTTTGACAACACGTGCCTTTCTAAAACAGTCTAATTTAGCAAAATTATCGGCGGCTACTTCAGAATATCTAAAATGAGGTATTCGACCATGTGCCGGACGTGGAAAGCGGACTTCATTTTTCATTTCCATCAAATCCCATATTAACTATAATAAAATAAAAAGAAATGTTAATCAAACAATATTTTCTAACAAAATATTATACCTGTCTTGCTTTTGCTTTGAATAATTTTATATTTTCATTGCTATCATTATTAATTGTTTTCAATGAAAATGGTTGACAACGTTGTTTTAACCATAAATCCATTTTAACTAGAATATCGCTGACTGCTTTAAGTTTGAGAACATTATCGCATGCAATATATTCATCATAAATATCTCTAATACATATCCATTCATGAACATAATCTCGTCGTTGATGTTTCATTTTATGTGGATATTTTGTTGGCACACGTTGTCGATTGTCTTCACGATTATTACTGTTATTGGTATTATTACCTGTTTTGTGTTCATCATATGAAACGGGATTTGGATAGCCAATTGAATTACATAAAATTGATGAATTATAGTCGACATTTAGTGCACATATGCTTAAATCAGATGTTGGATCAGTTGAATAAAACATACAGCGATGTTTAAAATCGAGACGTTGTTCAATCATTGATAATAAACGTTCATGTACGGGTGATAATGGTGCTGATGATGCTGATTTTGATGATAAACAGGAATCTCTTCGCTGAGCTGTTGTATAATTTTCTAATGATGGTGAACTATTTTCAGTAGCCTCTTTATCTGTGTCAGGGATTTCTTGTGATAATTCTTTTAACATTTCTGGTCGATTTACGTTAAGTAAACCACATAGAAAATCAGATGAACAAATAATCTCACAAATGGTACGAACAGAACCAGCTCTCAACATTGTTACTTCATATGGACCAAGAAAATAACGATCTCTTTTTCTTGTAAAATCATAATAAAGTATCATATGTGGTATTTCTTCGATCATTGTAACAGGAAAAAACATGAGTTTCATTATGACGATATTTTTCTTTTTTTACAAAACTACAACTAGAAATAATAAAATTAAAAGACCATAATAAGTTACTATAAAAAAATAAAATGCTACTGTTGATAGTCGATATTGGCTTAATCTAAAACGGAAAAAGAGATCAGAGTTAATTAATAGAAAAATGTGACGAGTATTAATAATTAGTCCACATTTTATTTTTTATTTATTTTCTGTAGGATAACTTTAATGCTTCAACTATTGCAAACACATACAGTCGATCAGTGAAAAGAGCGGTAACAGTGATAGTGAGAAATTATGTTTTTCTCTCATGTTTTTCATTTTAATAGGTAAAATATGAGTCGAACAGCAGATTGTAATATCAACATTTTATTAAAATAATAATTTAAAAAGACTTTTAAAAAGGCTTTTAAAATAAGACTTTTAAAATTTTATTATTCATCTGCCCATAATTAAAATATCAATCCTAATTTTGAAGTTTTATTTTTAAAATGTATTGCTCTATTTTTTAATAAAATCTTGATATTATTATAAGTTGCTGTTAAGTTTGGATTATTCATTAGAATATAAATATTTGTTATTGTTTTTTCAATATTTATTACACTTTCTGTTAAAAAATAAGTGAATAACACTAATTTTTTACCAAAAACAATTTGAAATTTTAATTTAAGAATTATGTATAATAATGTTCATTTTATCTGCAGTTTTATTTATCAGTTTCGTATTTCACGAGTATTATCGTAAAGAGTAAGTAGAAGAACCCCCCCCCTCACAAAAAACAAACTTTTTCAACAAGATAATAATAAAAAAGAAAATACTTCACTAGACTAGATACATAGAACACTCAAACAAGAAAAAAAAATTTAAAATAGGTGAATTTCATCGTTAACACAAAAAAGCAACAATAATATACTTAATCAAAAAATTTTAAAACAAACAAGTGACATTGTACAATATTATGTTTAAAAAAAAAGAAGAAGAGCATATCGTCTTCTGCAAACGTATAAGTTTAATTTAAAAAAAAGAAAGTAAATCATCGTTACTAAGTACACGATAAAAAAAGAAAAAAAAATTTTGATTTAAACAGAACCGGCTGTGTTAATGGAACAAAAAATAGCACAGATATAGAGAAAATGAATAATTTTGATAAGAATGTTTTTCAAGTTTGAAATTGTCCAGTTACGAAGTGAATCAATTTTTTTAAATCATAATATAATGATTCATTTAGATAAAATTGTGACTGAGAATAAAAATAATTTCCATTAAATTGATTAAAATTCGGCAAATTGATTAATATACGAAATAAACATTTTTCTTTTAACGTTAACATCCACCGAGGTTGTTGTAATTCTAAACCGATACATAAACGTATAAGATCATTGATTGTTCGAGTTGACTGTTGTTGAGATTTCCAAAGACATTTAGTATTTACTGATTTTGTTATTGGTTTTAGTAATGATGAAAAAAATGGATGATGCAAAATATTAGTCAATGATATACGTTTATCGGGTAAAAATTGAAACATATTTTCTAATAAATCATATAGATTTTCTTTAGTATATAATGTCGATTGTTGAGATATATATTGAGTTGCTGTTGAATAGGAAAATATACTTTTTAACATATAACCTAAACGTAGTTGATTACTGTCAAAATCAATATTATTAAATGCCTGTTTTATGTGATATGGAAATAATTCTAAAATGGATGATGTCAAACCGCCAACATATTGTACAATACATAATAATTGTTGACAAACATCATCATTTGCTGGTTGAAATAATACACTCCCATTATGTATCAACATTTCAACGATAATACACGCGATAGACCAAACATCACATTTTAAATAATAAAATTCATTATTTGAACGACTTGAAACAAAAGGAAAACATATGAATTAAGAGCATTATTTTAATGTCTTTTTTTCAGATAGACCTAGTCAATTGATCATCTCATTTTGTAGCAATAGACACAATAGAAATATACTCAAGTTATAACAATATCTCACGATATTGGTCATTAGTGTTTCTTAGGGACTTTTTCAACAAATAGTCATAGTTTGTTGTAGATTTCTTACCACGGTTGATAACACTTCTCTAATATCATTTGAATCAAGTTTTCTGGAGCATGTCTAAATAAAATATATTATCTGTATTAAGTAATATACAGTGAGTAGAGATGTGTTGGGCAACTGTTTCTGGAGCCCTGGCCCTATCCTATGAAAAATTGTTGTATCATCCCCCACCCTACCCTGCGACACTGGACCTCTGGTCCTACCCTATGTTGTGGTTTCAGGTAATCTTAAAGCCTTAAGCCTACTTTACGATATAATTCATCGAGAGTTGTCAAACAAAGCCCAAGTCCTACCCTGTGGCTCCAGGTGACATTAGAGCTCTGGTCCTACCCTACCCTGCAGAGTATGAGCCCCCCCTAGAGTAGGACAGGGTATGGGCGCCCTACACATCTCTGACAGTAGGTACCAAAATTATTCAACCACCTTTATTTTTGATTTTTTTGTTAGTCATAATAACTAAAACAATTTCAAATAGTGAATTATGTAGCGGAAAGAAAATCTAATTAGAAGAAGTCTGTATGAAAATTCCATCGCTATTTTTGAAAAATAAGTTCCTAGAATCCTTCATTTTCAGGTCCTCTATTTCGAAGTGAATGCTATTTGAGAATAATGCAGTCAGATAGAGAAATAATTCTGTAGAAAATGAGACGTCTCCAATCTCTCTAGGACATATTTTCATCAAATCGCACGTCACTGAAACCACCAAAACCAATAGAAAAGCAACAAAAAAATGCTTGCAGGGTCTTTCGTAGATTTGATGAAAAAATGTCCTAGAGAGATTGGAGACGTCTCATTTTCTACAGAATTATTTCTCTGTCTGACTGCACTATTCTCAAATAGCATTCACTTCGAAATAGAGGACCCGAAAATGAAGGATTCTAGGAACTTATTTTTCAAAAACAGCGATGGAATTTTCATATAGACTTCTTCTAATTAGATTTTCTTTCCGCTACATAATTCACTATTTGAAATTGTTTTAGTTATTATGACTAACAAAAAAATCAAAAATAAAGGTGACTGAATAATTTTCATGCTCACTGTAACTAGCACTAACCTATTCAAGCCTTGTAAAACATTCTTACCTCCATAAATGATGATATTGCAAACTACCGCCATTAAATTTGGTTGTGGAGATCGTTGGTGAACATAAGCGTACATGGTCATCTTTTGTCAGTTCAATATTTGTCGTATACCATGGCGTTAATGGACATAAGCCATGTTCTTGTAAATATATCGTACCACTGACAATTTGTAATGAAATATGATGTATACGATGAAGAGAAAAAGTTGATGTTTCAATGGCGATTCTTAATGACCTCTCTATACAGCCAGTTATCGAATATAAACAACCATCAGCGAGATACCAATATAAGACTTTGCGAACATTAATGTGTGATAACTGACTTGTTAGAATTAAACGATCATATAAATATGATAAATATTGTTTTGTAATTGTTTTTGATTGTAACGAAAGATATTTTGTTATATGTACTTGTTGTTTTAAGAGTGGATCATTGGCATTCATTGACGGTGTATCGATACCACCATGAAAAAATGTACCATCAGTCAAATCACGAAGTGGAATATATTCAAGGGGTAATGTAAAGGCTAATATCACACATGATTCAGTTTGATTATTGTTATTATTATTTCCTTGTTCTTTGATACAATGGCGTTTAAAGCGTGTGGGCCTGAATATAATATAAAAGAAATATAAAAGTATTCTTTCTAACGCATTCGAAAAAGATTATTAATTGTAACCATCGAACCATGATGTAACACTGAAATGCAATTCCATGTTCAAAATAGTGTTCTCGATTAACGTAAGCGTTTTCAAGAACGAATTTTGCATCGTTAACTCTCGTAATTATGGGAACACACATCCGTCAACAAAACTGTTCGTTAACAAATAAGATATATGCTCTATACAAGAAAACGAAATTGAAAACCATCGGACTTGCAGACAGACATCAGCGCCTGCAGGTATAAAGACTTGTTTGTTTTGATTTATCACAAAAAATAATATTTATTAATAAAGCAAGGTTATCCGACTTTGACCTCCTTATACTCATTTTTTGTGTGGAAAGCAATAAAAACTGCATGAGTCGTATAAAAATCATGTAGAATTGACTGAAAAACTGATGTCGATGTATGAAGGAAATAAAGTTCCATACTCCACACCTATTCCATACCAGAAATAGGTTTCCATACCTATTTCTGACATTTTAAAGCCAATCCGTGCTCTCCATCACTTAATATGACGGAGAAATCTTGTAAACGGCGAAGGTCTTATTTCGAGAAGTAGTTCTGCCGAACGCTGATAGATGAAGCCTCCAAATCGTTACTATTGTTATTCCTAGACATGATCAACATCCCTGAAATTTTAGTGAAGATTGGACTAAAACTGATCGAAATAGCTCTCTAATAGAGATGGACTTCATGAGTATTTGTTGCTTCTACAAAAATTAATGCAGAAGAAAGATAGATAAAACACTGCACCTACAACAGAACGAGAAGGCGGCTAAATAATTTGTTTCGTTAATTACCGCAGTTAGCATTTGTTTATATAAGTCTGACTTCACACGTTGCTCCAGTGACAAATGAGTTTATCAGTTATGTTCTGTTCTATTCTATTCAGTTAAATAAGTGAAAGAGTGAATTAAACTATTTACCACATTTGTAATAATTCAGTAATAGGCTAGATGGAGAAGTGATAATTTTCAGTTGTTCATTGAAAATCTAAAATGATTAATGCAAGATGAATAATGGCTGTCAGACGGTGTTAGGCTTGTATGAAAAAAACCCATAGCAATGGTTCAGACTGTCCTCAAAATCCTGTCTGCTACTTACTAATAACGAGACCGACAATATTGAATGACTTAAATGAGAACATTTATAAGAGCGTATTAATAGACACATTCTAATGCGTCTATCAGCAGTTGGATGTAGAAACTGAACTATGGAGTGTACGTGCTTTAAATGCGATATATGAATTAGATATATTCAGATCGTTAAACGGTGAAAGGAAAAGGAAAATTTTTTCTTATCACGTAGCAAAATTTATCTCCATCATCATATCAGCTCTAAATATTGCACAATAATTTTGCTTTTTCACAAACACTTATAGGGAAGAAAAAAATCAATGCACTACACGCTGATGATTACATTTCAGCAAAACTTCATATAATAACTGAAGCATAAAATCCTGCGCAATAGACAGAGAACAGGTGAACAATTTCTGGAACTTTTGTATTTATATCGAGTGTTAGCGAGAGGACATCATCTCAATCAGCATCAAAAGAGAACATTCTCAGACGAAATACTAACTCAGGATATGGGATCTTTGTCCCTCAGCGTTGCCATTAAATATTACACGACAAGAAGATTAAATTGAAAATGTTCGCATTGATTTTTTATTATTTCAAAAAAAAAAAGCGAGAAAATAGAAATAAACACACAAACGGAACGTTGCATAAATGGAAAATATTTAATAAAACACTTTTTTCTCTCTACTTAAATAAAAAAATTATTTTACATAAATAAAAAACAATGAAATTATTATAGTTTGATATCAATACACTGTTCAAAATGAGAAACCAAAAATATCATTCACACAAACATCACATTTCACCTTAAAACTAGAGAGAGAAGAAAAAAAAGCACGCGGATGAGTTTAAATGAGATGAGGATGTATACACCTAACTGACATTAAAAAATATGTAAAATGTCCTTAACACACTCATGTACCAATACGATCGATGAATCGTTGTTTAGTTAAATATTTAAGCGTAAATATTTTTCACACACATACTGTATCTGTTAAAAGATACATCCTGAATAATAAAGTAAGTAGCAAAGAAGCAACCCCCGTGCACGTATACATCTAATGATTTTATTATCAAATGAGTTCTCAGTTTAATGCTCAAAAATGTATGATGAGTATTTCTTTTATTTGATTTTTGAATCAGTGAAATAGAAATTACTTTATATACGGCGCAGGAAAGAAAGAATACGTGATGCCAATGTGATTATCAAAGAATTAGCAAGTAAAAAGACAGAAGAATAACTAAGTGTATTCATGGATTCGAGAGAAGACATAATTTTTTTGTAGAAACTAGAGTAAGGACGCATTCTACAGAGATGGTTTGCTTTTGATTATTGATAAAACAATATAAAAGTGGAATTATTGATAAATTGTAACGTTCAAAAATGGAAATGAATATTCCTAGTTTATAATCTTGAATTACACTCATGACACATAAAACTGTCAATATTACAAAAATTTGCACATGTTATGTCAGCTGTAAGCGATCAAAAACGTTGGCTTACTCTCACAAATGTGTACAAATAGTTTAGTAAAAGAAGATAGAAAGAGAAAACTGTTAAAATTATGTCAATATATAAATTATACTAAATAACAATAGCATCACAACTTTGCACTCGCTTCTTACCACAATTATAACAAAACAAGAAAAGTTTGTTATTCAGTGATGATATTTATTTACATAAAATATAAGAAAAAAATTGAGAATAAAAAACATAAAAAAAAAACGTTTCAAGTTACATTTATTTCTTGTCTACAAAAAGAAAAAACATTTTGTTCTACTAATTGCGTTGAGGAACCGGTGGTCGTTCAAATGGGCGAGGTGGTATCGTCGGAATAGGTCGTCTAAAACGAGAATAAAATAGATCTACATTGTAATTAGAATGAAAGTTAGTTTCCCGAAAAAAAAAATCTTAGTAATAAATTAGTAGTAAAATAAAGATTCTAAATATGAAGATTCATCTAACTTTTACTTAATTCTAATGCACGATAAAAATAAAAGGAAATAAAATAATATTTAAACATTTCGAAAAACTGCAATTGAACATGCTCTCTAAGCTTTTGTCAGAAAAACTGCAATCTCTAAGATAACTAAAAAATCTTTTTTTCAGAAAAAAAACTCTTGAACGTTTGAATACTAATATAAGTGGTTGCAAGTTATAGTTGTACAGCTAATTGACACGAACACACTAACTCTGGATGAAATACGTTTAATATTTGTTTTTTTTGTCTATTTAGCATCTAGATATTTCACACTTACGTTGAAGATAATGGTGGAGGAAGTCCACCAGACTGAGGACTCGCTCTGCCTTGCACATTTAATAGTGGTCTAAAAATATCGATAAATTAATAAAAAGGAAATGTTCTTAACTAGAACTACTATTGTCAATGCATTTTTTTTACAGCGTGACTCAATAATATTATATGTTTCTAATATTATTATTCACATCATCATGTCTCATGCAAGTGACACAAGAATCTTCCACTAAAAACAAAGATCTTTAAAAGAAAAAGAAAAATGCAATCTACATGCAAATGTGTAAGTTGAAAAAATCGAACAGAAGATCAGTTATTAGAAGATAAATAATAAAGAACTTTGAGAAGAACTTTTTATGCAGTTAGTCTTTTGTTAGCGTTAGTAATTTGACAAAAAAAACAAAAACGGAGATACTCGATAGGAAAGTGCAAAAAACTTACGATGGTAAAGATGGTGCATAAGCACCATTTGAAGTATTAGAGGATGTAGTGGTAGTAGCAAAAGGATCGAATCCAAAGAGATTGTTTGATTGTGGACGCCTGTAAAACAAATTGAAATTTAGATATTACTAGTATAGCCGATAAATATCAGAAAAATAATCGATCACTCTACTATTTATCTATTCTGATTTGCTTCTCTTATAAACTGTAGTGCTGACGTACGGAAAAGAATAAAATGTACAAACGAAGCAACTGTATTAGTCTTTATTCAAGATATTTGTAAGTCAAATAAGCAAATTATCTACATATTGCGAAATTAATATTTCCATCATTCCTATTTACTTTTTTCTATTTCGTTGTTAGTGAATGATTGTTAATAAGAACATTGAAGACCAAAGAAACGCAGACTAATCTATCTTTTACTTTTTGGACAAGCACCAGTGTTTTACAGTCTCGAATGGGATGGTAGGAAACATTATTTCTTCAATATTTTCATTTTCATTTTGTTTCAATTTGAATAAACTATGCAATACTTGAAAAAGTGCGTCCAGTACTTTTTACTTGTTCTCTTTCTTCATTTTAGTAGAATATGAGCCAAGTTGGTAATGCGAGAGCTCATTGTACTTCAAAACTTATTATTTTTTGCTACAATTTTGCTCCGTTTTCCAGACAAAGAGTTTTGCAGTCGTTCTATGCCTATATGCAAGTGTTATAATCAATATTGAGAAGCCTGAGAATACTCACGATGTTTGTTGTGACAACTTTTTATCTAATTCTGTGAAAAAATTTTTAGAACCCCTACAGACAAAAAAGAAGAATAACAATGTTTGTTCTCACAATCTATTTTAACTGAGTGTAAATGAAGGTATACATTGAAATTGTAACTAGAAAAATATTGAACTTACTGTGGTGATGGATTGGACGGTGTATTAAAATTAGCTGCCATTGGACGCATTGGTGGTGGTGGTGGTTCACGTGTTGTCACTGGATTTACTAGATTAGGCGCTTGCATTTTTCGTTGCTGAATTGGACTTGGAGGTTTAAAAAATTTTTGATCATACAATTGTGCATCTGGTAGTGAAACTGTTCTTGTACTTATATCACCAATAATCTCTAATGCCTGAAATAAGCATGGAAATTAGAGTAATTCGTATACCATTTTTCACACTAAAAAAATTACTTGTTTAATTGCATCGTAATGCCTTAATTTTTCATCTCGTTTCATCGATTCATCAGCAGACTCTTCCATAAGAAAACCCTGCAAACATAGATTATGTAAAATTCAGATGTGACAACTGTCTATTTAACATTATTATAAACTCACTTGATCCTGATTAGTACTATAAAGTTGTGATAATAAATCGATTGTTATAAACTCTTTCAACTAGAAAACAAGAGAAAAGTGCTGTACAATATGACAAAATGCTGATAAGTAGGTAGTTTCATTAGAACTATTTCACTTTTTTTACAAGATATTTCCGGGCTTAAGGCAACGTGAAAATTCCAGTATAAAAAGCTCTTTAATACACAGGAAGTTAAAAGTTAAACAGAAAAAACGTTAAAATTTCCAAGTGTACAGGCATACTAGTGGAATCATGCTCAAGATGAAGTGTTAAAGAAAAAACTGTTGATATTGATAAGAGGTTTGTTTTGCTCCAAAAAGAGTTTGAAATTAGAAAATCGGCAATATCTATGAAAACATATAGAAATATCTTTTTTTGTACGTAATGTAGGTAACTCAGTTAGAAAACTGAATTTATCCAAAGAACACACTTTCTTAATCAATCAATTTTATGAGATACCATCACCACCACATATTCAAGCACTACAGTTAGACAATGAACACAAAACTCGACCTAAGGTCTAAATGAGTCATTCGATTTTGGAGATTTTGTCATTAAAAGTGTGAGAAAACAGGTATTTTTACAAACTTTCAACTGTATAAATTACTTACACTGTTTACAATCAAGTGCATGATCATTTTTGGTATAATATCTCGTGTTGATTTTGTAACTATTTGCATATATGATACAACAAGATTATTAATCGTTTCCACTTGTCGTTCAAGTTGAGGATCCACTGTACCAATATCGGGCGTCTAAACATAATTTTATGACTTTCATATCTTATTTAAAGATTTTATTTTTTACTTCTTACAGTTTGATCTTCTGGATGTGTTTCTCTTTCAGGATAAACGCCAGCACGAAGAAACGATGCTTTCCAACCATCAACTTCGTCTTGTGTTTCACACGATAATTCAAGCATCTTATGTTCTTTGTATACGTTGCGACTAAACAGAAAAGAAAACGAATGATAATTAGAATAAAATTAAACTTTTTGTTTATGATAAGGACAAAAGAACAGTAAAATATATCGAATAATTATCATTATAGTCGAAGAAAAAGAATAAAGCAATAATTTTGTGTTATTTCCTTGTCCTTTCAAATTGAAAGTGCCACTCACAGTAGTTATCATAATAATTAAATGATAAATGCATTAGTTCTCTTTTTAGTAATATTATACACAATGTAACTATCTTAATTAGATGATCTGGAATATGATAGAACGACCGCAAAGTCCATGTATCTCCCAGAAGATCGAGTTATCATCTTTATAAATGTATGTTCTCACTATAATCAATGAGCTACTTTTTTTGACAATTGTTTGTGTTTAACATCAGAAAAACTTTTCATTCAACACACATACTTGTTCATAATTTGTCTCTTTTGTTTAAAACATTCATACATAATTATTATAATTATCTAATTTGTTGAAGTATGACATTAATTAATCGGTATGTAAAAAAACAAAGCAAAATTAAGGGATATTCATTTACGTCTGTATATTTTTAAAAAATTCGAGGTCTATTCATTAACATAGATTGACTATGTTATTAAAAAACACTTTTTGTCACAATCATTTTGATGGTTATAGTTATTTATTGTATGAAACAACATTTATTATTCGTTTGCATCAATCAGACAATGTGCTATTATCATCAAGCTCAACCAATACATTCATCGTGTCTGATTAGAGAAAAATGCAACGAAAGTTTTCGTTGTTTTTATGGTTAATAGTTAGCTATTGAAATAAAAATAAATTTCATTTTTGATTACTAGACGCTAGGACACTGACATTAGAGCGCAACGACACCATCATCCTCACCCATCAATAGTCAAAGTAAACAGAATGGTTATATCTTGGAAAACCAGAAGGATTTAACCAGTATTCTCTTTTGGAATGTATTCGTTTAAATGATAAAAGATAATCTAATGAATGGCAATATGTATTAAAACCAATTTTGAAGTCTTAATGTCTTGGTTGAGTGAGAGCGAGAAAGGACTAGCGGTTGAAATTAGAAAATTTTAACGAATATTAAAAACTGAATATTCCGTCATACAAGTGACTTCTTACTTTGGCTCTGTACTAAACAATGCAAATTGTATACGTCTTGACATCATTCCACTATCAACAGATTTGATTTTTAAATTATCTAACGGCACCATATATTTTTTATCTTTCTCCTAGAAGAAAAACAGGGAACATATTTTGTTCAATAATTAGTTAGGATTTAAATGAAAAACATCCATACTTCTTGATCTGTAAACCAAGACAGACTTTCTGTTGATAAAACGAAAAAGAAATCTTTGGCTTTCAAAAAATTTGCACCGGTTTGAATTCGAAGCCATCCTTTTCGAATGACCTAAATAAAAAGTATACTTTGCAGTACAAATATAAACATTGTCTCAATAGCAGAATACCGAATGATTAAATTTAACACGAAAATAACAATAGTACACAGTAAAAAGACTGAAACCAAAAACCTGCTTAACAACACCTCCAATGAATAACAGCATAACTCTCTCTCTCTTTTGCAAAAAAGTGATCGGTGGCAACACTAGCTAAATTAACTAACTATAGCAAAAACGAAAAAGCAGCAGATATTCACAGTAGGAAAAAAGACGAATATTGTGTACTTGTTCCTAGAAGAATACAAATAAATAAATAGAAGTTTGATTCACTCTCTCTACGATCAATTACGTAAAATACAAACTTTCACAGGCAGGGATGAAAACCGGCCGGTATTCTGTCAAACTAACCTGATTTGCTAGACGACGTTTATTCTCGTTTACACTGCGTTGTTGAGCACTATAAAAAAAAGCAAAATGTTTATTTTATGCATAAATGATTTCATTTCTTCTACGTTCAACTTACTTTGCAAACCCAATAAAATCTTCATGATTTGTATTTATGTAAGCCAATTGAAATTGTACATACTCTAAACATGCCGTTTTTGTTGCTTGTTCACGTTCTCGCAAATATTGTGTTACTAGACGTTCACTTTCTTCTCTCAAATTTGGAAACCGAACCATCTAAATGATTACAAAAAGATAAACAGTAAATGAATTTTAATTGAAACACACTTTAGTTGTCAGAAAGCTTCATGTCAGAGATCCAGTCCGACGATTCTTAGAAATTTTATAATTCCAATCAAGACATTCTCAGAAATACGTGCATCTGTAATGCTTTCGCTGGCTAACTGGTGCGAATGTATTTCTAACGCTAATATTTATAGTTTCATGACTTCTTGTTGAAATATAGATAGATATATTTTCTATATATGGTGTTATTTATGCAAACGAAAAAAAATACTCTCCACCTGCACACTTAATGTAAAATTAGCCGTTTTCATTTTTTTCTCTAAGTACAGCAAGTATTTCTGATGCTAATGATCAACAGACAACGTCCTAGAAAGGCAATATCTTACTAGTGCAGATTGCGCACTCAAGAGCAAACACTCTTCTTGATTATGAAACTAAAGTGAACATAACATAAAAATCTCTTACGATCAAAATTGAAAAATACTACTTTTGAGTACAGTATAACTGATTTCTATCATAAAAACAGGAGAAAAGTGATTATGACCTTTCTTATTATCTCATTAAAAATGAATGTCGAATTAACGTGCAAAATCAAAATTGAAAGTAAAATATTGAATGTGACTAGTTTTTATCTTTGTAGCTAATTTTCACTGATTTTCTTCAGTGTGTTCCCTTGATTTTCGAAAATATATTCAGAAAATGAGAGGAGAGTTCACGAAAAAACGGATAAATTGGAAGCCATCGTATAATTTTAAATAAGCTGCTTCGCGAAAAGCTGAGTGCACAGACAAACAGTATAATCGTAGATTCAATTGAAATAGCAATTTGTTGCCGAAAATCAACATCTACAAACCTGCTGCTAGGACCGAACAGAAAAGAAGCGTATAGACTTGCCATTTTTGAAAGAATGTTTACAAACCTTTTCTGTGACTTGATGTATAATACTCAATAATTCTGAAATAACTAGATCAACACATTTAAGAACTGGTTCACGATATTTAGCTATTTGAATCTGTACAACATATTCAAAGGCTTCATCGGGTGTAAACAAGCCAGCTCTATAATAAACAGCAAGAATAGTTTTATGTGATAAAGTAACAAAAAGTTGTTGCTGACATACCTGATGCCACGGATGTTTTTAATGGCAATAACAATTTGTTTACGCATATCTTTATCTTCGATTTCAATCTAGAGTAAATAATGATAATTTACAATATATTAAAGCCATTGTAAGTCTACGAACCTTGACTAATTCAAAAGGAAAACGTTCATGAAATATATTTGCAATTTTTGCACCACCGGTTAATACTTGTAAATTAACATCACTTAAATTTGAACCTAATAATGCTGATTGAAATTCTTTTCCAACGTCATGAACGTGACTAGAAAAGAGATGTGGTATGTGTGATACATAGTCAATTTTAACAAGATGTAGATGAAATTTTACTTCATTAAAGCTTTTGTTTTTCTTTGTGGATCATCTGGACGTGTACTTTTATATTCCATAACTTCTTTTTCCATTGTTAATAGTTGTCCTTGTAATTTATTTCGTAGTTGCGGTAAACATTGTCTAATATGGTTTGTTAATTGTAAATTGAGTGTTTTTTGTAAAAATACTGTACCCATACGATCGGCAATGTGTCTGAATCATAGGAGAAAACTAAAATACAGACATTCAATTCTACTAGAATAACGCGTACTGATAAGATGGATGAGTCATAAAAAATCGTCGTTCAGCAGCCATTGCTGATTTAATATCTTTTCGTCCATCGATATCTTTTTGACTACGATTAACAACTCCAATGTATCCTATCGACAATAAAATGAAAAGTAAAACAAGCTTTTGATTATATCTATTATATTATATTTGAGCAATACTGACCTCGTCGAAGAGGTAGTAGTCTGTTTTCTAAAATATCACGAGCGTCAGTACCATCATCCATTAAATCTAATTTTGTAATAACACCAATTGTTCTTAAGCCTTGTACGAAAATAACCGTAAAACTATACATATATATTTAACTTTATTCTCTTAACTTACCGGATGGATCAACTTCTTTTGCCAATTTTAATGCGTCCGAATTAGCCAAATCACTGTTAGCTGGTGTAACAGCTAATACTAAACAATTATCTTTACTAATAAATTCAAGAATCATTGCACGAACTTGTGCTTCAATATCTGGTGGCTGATCACCAACAGGGACTTTTGTAATGCCTGGCAAATCAACTAATGTCAAATTCAACACTAAACAAACCAGAGATGATGAAGAACTCTATTGAAAAATGCTTTGTATATATGCTGCCTACCATGAGGGGAATAAATAGTCAAATTAATTGGTACGCGTGATATGCCCTTGTTTGTACCTGTCATTCGATCTGTTTCCTCCTCGATTTCAGTACGTATGGCACTAAAATCCGTATACTTTCTTCCTTTACTATGCAAAAATTCACCGTATTCTAGAAAAAAAAGATTACATTTGATATCAATGCGCTCGTTAGGTAGCGTTGTTTTATTTACCTCCATGAGGATAATGAATAAGCTGTAAAATAAGTGGTCGCCTTGTGACAATCCCGGCACCACGTGGTAAAAAATCTCTAAAAAAACGGAATTTCTTGCACCAATTTCGACGACCATGACATATGAAACGTACCTTCCAACAAAATTTTCTAACACTGAACTTTTACCAGCTGACTGTGAACCGACAACAGCTATTTGGGGTAAATCTAAGTCGAATCGAGCACCCATTGTGGTAAACACATCCTGGAGTCGATTGACCATAGGAATTAATTGTTCCATGCCTGTTTTAGAAAAGTAAAAGCAAGAAACCATTGCCAGAGGCATTAATACGTAAACTCTTAATAGAAATTCTTACCTGGATTGCCTGACATGATTATTTTTTAGCATTTACTTCTAGTAAAAACTAACTAGAATGTATCTTATATCTCGAAGTGTAAAATAAATGAATTAGAGGGAGACAAGCTATTTTTCAAACAAACAGTAAAATGCTTTTTTTTGTATTAACATTTCTGTGCGGCTCCTCATATTTCATAATTAATCGATGTTTATCGGTAAGCTTCAACAACTTTGAAAACATGTACAAAATTGCTTCCGAAAACCTCAGACAGAAACAGAAAGGGAAAATTCTACTCCGTCTCTGATTAGTATATATACTATATTTAGTCCTGCCTTGTTTCTTCTTGTATTTTTTTCTCTTTATTTATTTATTTATTTATTTATTCACTGTGTCTCTCTCCAGCTTAATCTTTCTGCTCAACTGATCGATCGATCAGGTACATGACCAACAGTTTGTGATCTATGAATCATAAGTATCGTAATTGAAATACTGATGTATTAGGAGCGACATCTCTTTACACTCATGAATATGTAATTGAACTGAAAACGAAGTTCAAGTCTCGCATAAGTTAGAAAATATTTTTACTTATTATTATTTAAACATATGTCGCCACTTTCCAGTCAATACTTAGACGAAGACATTACCCTAGTGAATGTACTCAAGTGTGAGTACTCAAAGTCGTACTCTGCTGAAAAATGTCCCGAGTACTCACACATTTTTTTACTCATTGAGCACTCACATGACTACTCATGAGTGAGTAACGAGTACTGTGGGTACGACTTTGAGTACTCATGCTTGGGTATTGTTAAATACTCATATAACTTTTGACAAAATACTCACGAATATTGTTTATCTGATATTTTCATGTAGAGGAGTGATCTCAGACAGCCAGAGTAGGACTACAAGTCCAGTCATAGACGAGTCCATCCCTGACTATATACAGAGAGACCAGTGAGGAAATAATAATATAAATATTCTACGTTTCTTCACTAAATTCGCCGTTCTTTATACAGTGTCAGTTTAGCAAAATAAAACGGTGAATGAATATTTTCTGAGTACTCAGATGAGTAACGGAGTACTTACTGAGTAACAATACTCAAAAACTGTTAGTAGTACTAATATGAGTACTCATGGACGAATTATGAGTAAAGTCGTACTCATCGTATGAGTACTTTCACTAGGGTACTGCTCCTAAAGTAGTGCATAATGTTTAGAATAAAACATTAAAAAAATATTTCAAAAACTACATACTCTGTCGAGAACATAACCTAATTTTCTTATAACTCAATATGAAATACAAAGCGTCTTTTTTTCTCTACCGTTATCCATATGAGGTGCCTTGTGATTCCTAAGTAGTATATTTTGTGCAAGGTCAAGGTTCATCGCTCGACAGCCAGGGCCGTCAGTAGGATGTCAACTTGAGATCTTACTGAGATACTACTTTTACATACCTTCAATGTCACATTGAAGGTATGTAAAAAAAATCCTCGCAAAAGTAGTATGACATTCGAAAAAAAATATACGCAGCAGAGTTAGTATGAAGTATTAGAAGAAGTTCAAAGAAACGTTAATTATACTGTTTTATTCGGAAAAAAGCTGAAAAGATCCCGTAAAAATTGCAGAATGGATCCCGTATACTAAAATTTCGATAAAAATAGTAGAAATGATTCCGAATTTAGAAAAAAAATACTTTCGACAGAATTGATCCCGGAAAACTTTTTTCTTTCTGCGAACAAGAGAATTGATCCCAGTTGACGTGTGGTGCGAATGTAAAGACGGTGTTGAGACATAAACAATAGCAACGTGTAGCGGTCACATCTTTTTTCATACTTTTTTCACTCACGTCACTTTTGACTGTTACTATCACTATTAAACAAACTATGGCTCGAAAGACATGGCTATTAGTTTTTACGTGTGTAAACGAAACTGATTTATTAAGTTTTATCAAAACTCAAGGTGTCTGCAAAAATCGAACTGAACAATTCATTGGTGGTTTATCAATTACATATAAATGTTCACAGTACTGAAAATATCCGCTATGCGAGTATGAATTGAATATAGTATATAGAAATCAGCGAAGAGGTTTGGGAAAGAGGATGTTATATGACCACTACACACGTCAACCGGGATCAATTCTCTTGTTCACAAAAAGAAAAAAGTTTTCCAGGATCAATTCTACACAATAAATATAAAAATTAGTTTATTCCGGGATCAATTCTGTCGAAAATATTTTTTTTCTAAATCCGTGATCATTTCTACTATTTTTATCAAAATTTGAGTATACGGGCTCCGTTCTGCATTTTTTACGGGATCAAAACGATTACCGTCATATCACCGACAAAAAATTAAAGTTCATTTAGAGTTAAAGAAAAGTGTTTTTTCGTATTCAGCACACTTGATAACCTGAAAAATTTTCTATTTTTAGCGAGGGGTACCGCCAAAAAGTTAAGAAAAATTTTCAAAATTATATAATTTTACCATGGAGATTTTTCTGCGTCATTTTGTTTGAAAATTTTTCTTAACTTTTTGGCGGTACCCCTCTCTAAAAATAGAAAATTTTCCAGGTTATCAAGTGTGCTAAATACGAAAAAGCACTTTTCTTTAACTCTAAACAAACTTTAATTTTTTTTTATTGGTGATATGCCGTTTTATTCATCATACTACCACATCGAAAACAAGAAAAATGATGAAATGACTTCAGAGATGTCGCCTTATTTCGCTCTTTTTCTTTATTTTTAGTATGAAAATTTTGTTTTCTCAGTCTAAGTGGTAAAAAAAGGAAAGAGTTCAATTATTGAAGGGCTATTCACCCTCGCACTCACCCAGGGAATTGACGGCCCTGCTGACAGCAAAAGAAAGAGAATTCAAAATAGTCTAGCATCGTTGGCTATTAGTGTCACTGCATGTTGAACTTTATTAAATATCGCCGTTAAACCGCGGTTCTCGAAAAAACCGCTGATTACTAGGATATTTTCTGAACCACTCAGTCTATCGGCGGTAACCGGACAATATTCTCCACAACATGGCGTTGTGAAAAAAGAAAGATTTTTAACTTTTCTTTTACTAACAGACATGGGACTTTAATACGGATACGCTAGTTGCATAGTACTATCAACCTGAAAACACGTTGTTATTGCTGTGCGTTCAGCGTTTACGCCTAGCGTATCCGATCCCATTTAAGTTGTGCAAACCTGTATCGTTTAGTAATACATTTTGTTCATCAGCTCTAAAAATTTTCAAAACAATATTTGTCTTAATAAAAATGGTCAAACTGTGTCATAATTTGCCTTATTTTGTTTGATTAATCCTTTTCTTAATAGAAAAAGAAATCGTAATAGTGCAAAAACAGGGGCGCATAGTGTTTTTTGAAAAAAAAATTTTGTTTACTTCTGTTAATCGTCATTTTATCACTTTTTCTTCATGCCAGGTTTAATCTACAATCAGACTTTGAATCAGAGATGGGCGAGTACTCAGATTCTTGAGTATGAGTACGAGTATTTTCTAAAAAGTACTCGAGTACGAAACTTTTTAAAAGACGAAAAAACTCATGAAAAAAGGTTTAGCTGCCTAACAAGAGCCATTTTTAATATCTTTCTGGCTATTAGTTGAAGGTGAGTTAGGTTCTAGTCTTAGTTTTTTTATTTTACTGTTTATTATTTATTTGTTTTACTTTATCTGAACACACAAGAATGAAACGTTATTCTAGAAAATCGTTATTGCATTTTAAAACTGTTAACACGCATAACGTTGATGCTGATAACTTTGAACGATGATAAAAATTCTCTTTATTGGCGCGGACGTCGCAGGGGCAGTAAAATATTTTAGAGCTAATTTTGATAGATGAGGATGTGATTCATGTTTCGTTAAAATAAGATCATTGCCCATTCTCTGTTCTTTACCAAAATTTTCTATCTCTCCTGATACAGTTGAATTTATATTTAATATTCTTTTAGATGGTTTTCCAAGATAAGGAAATAATTATAATAATAATAATAAAAGAAGAAGAAAATAGCCTGATTTGTTCTTATTTTAATTATAGGTTATTGTATGTTAAGTCATTTGTCTTAAGTTTTTAATGTCTGAAGGAGATACAAAATTCTCAAGGTCAAAAATTCTTCGTACAGCATACTAGTGAAAAAATTTCAAGCACTCGAAAATACTCGAGTATATTTTTAAGTACTCGTAAAGAAAAGTGCCGAGTACGAGTACTGAAGATTTTGTACTAGAGTATACTCGTTCTGCTTCGAATGTCTCTTGACCGTTTAGAAGATGAAGATTGTATATTTTACATATAATTAAGCAATTTTACTTTTTTGTTGCTTTCTGAATTTCTGTATTATTTGAACGTGATCAGTATAGAACGTTCAATTTGTTAGCATAATCATCACTAGAGATTTATAACCTGATGCGATCTTATGATTCGATTCGTGCTCAATTTTCTCAACTCATGCAGATCTATTTTTTAAAATTTAAACTTTTTACGTTCGTCGCGAAATTTTTAAAATATCTAAAATTTCTTTATTCAGGTAAAAAAAAAGATTTTTCTCCATAGAGGGTTATATTTGACTACGATAGGATAAGAATTGTTTTATCGTAGTACAGAAAAACCTCAAGTGATTGATTTATCAATGTTAGTGTAAATTCTTCTTTAAATAGAATATGTACAGTTTGAGAACAGGAAACAAGCTCACACACCACTAGTCATGTAATAATTTATAGGGACTACAACAACAACAACAACAACAACGCAAGAAAAATATATTGAAACAAACAAAATCGGTACATAGAAAAAAAACAGTTGATCGATCACATCTAACAGTATTTATTGTACCTTGGATGTAATTAGTATAATTTGAGTTGAATACGAATCCGAATTATATTAAGAAACCTTTCGATTACGATAACTGCATTATTGACCGCATTATTGGAGATACGTCGTATGGATTTACTTTTTCTACTATATCTGATCGAGTATCTCTCGATATTATTTGTATAACTAGGCATTGGGTAATTAATTTTGTAAATATTGTTGTCGCTGTTTTATCACCGAAACGATCGTCCAAAAATCTCCATAATCGTTCAATGTATAAATTTTGTGCTCTAAATACTTTTAAAGGATCAGTCAAAATTGGTTCAACCGTCTGACTTGCTGAAAATCCTTTACAAAATAACATAATAACTAAAGCTAATTGGACAATAATCTGATCTAATTCAACAATTGATCGTAATGTGGTCATTAACTTTGTTATTTTAGAATATGTTTCAAGACCATGTGATAATAAAATATCTCTACCATCAATATGATGTTTAGTATCTTCATTATATCTATCCAATAGTGGATCATATCCCAATACGGCGTGTACAAAAAAGATACATGGTAAATTATATTTAATTAATGTGACTTTATCTTCTTCAGCACACAATTGAAATTCACGCATTTTCTTATAAAAATTAATTAATCTTAATGCTGTAATATTTTTAACATTTAGTATCTGACAAATAGCAGTAAGCTTTTTTGTTAACGGATACAACGGTAAACTATCCTCAGTCGTATTCAATTTGAAACATTGACAATAGGCTATCTGAACATTTATTAAAATATCTAAATTAGACGTTGACGATAATTGATCTTGTTTTTCTTCATATAATTCAACATGAGGACTAGATGTCTAAATTGAAAATAAAACATATATGATTTATATATAGTCTAACTCAAAATTTTTTGTCTATTTTAGTCTATTTACATCTGTATTCAATCTGTGTCGAAAGATACATCGATGGATTGTAATTTATTATTTTTGAAATAAGATAAAAAACTTGAATATTCAATAACATAATCCATATGAATAATTTTTAAGAATTTTGAAATTTGAACAGAAACAACTCACCACTGTTTCGTGATTCGACATATTAGATATTCGTTTCTCATCTAATTGATATTGATTATCTTGATTAAGATCATTAGAAATTCGTAATCGACGATTTTCTTCAATTCGTCGTTTTTTGTTCTGTTTTTCTTCTTCAGTAAGTATCCATTCTTTTCGCATTCCTAAGAAAACAAATACTTTCTTTTAACAAACTTCATTTTACTGAATAGAAATTTGAAAATCAACTGAAAAACATTTATACTAACCAACTGAAAAACATTTTTTAAGTCGACAAGATTTACAACGACGTCTTGTTTCTGTTGTAATTTCACATAAATCATCTCGTCGACATTTCAATCGTTCCTATAACAAAACTTGTTTAATATTGGAAAAAAAGATATTTTAGGTTGAAACCTACAAGACTAACAAGAGCATTTCGTCTAAAGAAGGCTTTGCATGATTCACAACTGATTGCATCAAAGTTGTAACCATGAGCTTGACCACTGCATACTACACACAATAAATCAGATTTTTTTCGATTAACTGTCACACTTTCTTGAGCTAATGTTGTATTATTTAATGAAATGACTGCATTGATATTTGCATTGTTTAATATACGCGGTCGTCGTTTTCGATTACATGGGACTGTCTAGAAATCATAGGAAGAATCGAGTAAAGTTCATTGTCTTATATACATTTCTAACGTTCATAGCTCGGTTATGAAGTGCCCTCATACAGGTTCTTTCATTATTATCTAAGGCAAATGCAGAGAAGATGTGACTATGTTTATCCTGTAGAGCCTCTTTTTACTACTATCCATTTTAGAAAATAGAATCTGTAGATATTTTTCTGAATAACTGTTGAACAAGGATAACTAGATGCTTGTGATTTTCACTATTCGATAAGAAAGGTTTAGGACATATATCTATAAGAAAAACTAAGTTTGAGTTTTTCGTTAATCATGGTGGGTCTTGCCAAGCAAAATCTAGAAGGTTACAAGAACACGTAAAAGAAATAAATTCTAAACTTCCATAAGTGTATTCAAACCATCAGACTTTTCTCTACATTGTCCCACGAGTCCCATATCTCCATCGAACACAGTTCAGACCAGAGATCGGCACGGGCCGAAAATTTTTGGCCCGGCCCGGCTCGATGCTGAAAGTTTTCGGACCATGCCCGACTCAGCCCGACTAAACGTAGAACTTTCCTGATCCGGCCCGGTCCGACCACTTTGCGTGATTTTCTTCTTGCATTTGTTATGCTTTTGCTGACTAAGCAGTATAAATGTATTTCTGAAGCTAATATTTATATTTTTATGATTTCTCGGTACCGAGTATACACATAAATTACAAATCCACGCATGCTTAAAAATTCTAAGTTCGGCCCGACCCGACCAAAATACTTTACAGCCCACGCCCGGCCCGTACTGATCTCTGGTTCAGACGGGATAGAAAACGTTAGAAATAATGGAAACATAGGTTATCGACTATGTTCAATCTCATGGCAACGTTAATTTTGATAAGTTAATTTAAATGGCGAAAGAATCACTTTGGCACCTGTCTTCCTTACTCGAAAAAAATCAAAAATTTCACTCAGAAAAGTGGCATAAAACTGTTCGATTCTTTCGATGTATTTTCATCCTATATACAAAGCAAGAATTCATAAAACTTCCACATTTTTGCATTTTAATTGATTCAGAGTGTGCTCGCGTACAAAATCTTGAAAACTTTTCAATTTCTGTGTAACTCGAAAAAGGTTTTTTCTCCATCTTAACGTTCATGAACTATTTCATTGATACTAACAGACGGGTAAGTTCTATACGCTAGAATTGATAAAAACTACAATTAAAAATCGTTGACCGCTTTAAAGGACAGAGCATTTAAACATCTGTGATATCTGCACAGATGCCTTGCACTATGATATTTTGATGTTCTCTATGGCTTCGATTAAAAATTCATAGAACTACATTAACCTTAATAGAAAATAGATTTGATTCCTTGATGAAAAAACAGAATAACACGTGATGAGGATCGAAAATTTCTTAAATCAGTTTTTTTCAACTATACTATTTAATTCCTTCTAAAACTTTAATCTAAAAATTCAAAAGTACGATAAAATACTCAAAGTATAAAACTGACGTCATTTTAGATCCGACTTTATGTTTCAACCATTTTTAACAACATAGTACAAACATTTTGGGCATTTCAATTTTCTATGCTAGCTGCAGTGTTAGGTACCGATCGCCGTGAAACACGCAGTATGGCTTCTTTAGAGTTTTAAGAAGTGCGCTTAACCTGCTAACTGCCTGCATAAAAAATTAACAACATCTTATTATTTTCATCAATTATTGACTTGACAGCAATAAGAAAAATACTTAACTAATAAATAATAGTAGTATTCTCTAAAAAAAAAGGTATTTTAAAATACGAAAAATGGAATAACCATTTGAACCATATCATAACTGTTTAAACGTTTTTTACTTTTATCAGAAAACCCTTCTAGTATTTTTAGAATTCGAAAAAGCCGTGATTTAAAAAATCCTGAATTTAATTGGTATTTTAAAATACCTGAAAGGGTTTTTTTATGACATAAAGAAATCTCAACTGTTTTTCAGAACATAATTTAGCCGTATTTTAAAAAACAAAAATTAGTTTTTTAATAAGAATAAGAAACTTTTAAACAGTTATGATATGATTCAAATGATTATACCCTTTAAATTTTTTTCACGGGTGGTTATACTTTTTTTGATTTTTCTCAAATGGAGAATACTTTTTAGGGTATTTTGAAATACCTTGTTTTTTAGAGTGTAGTAGTATAATAAATACTGAACCATTTGAGTTGTCCGAATGCTCTAACGGGTCACCCAGAATAAGTGTCTCATTCAGTATTTTCTCAATATCTCGATCAAGGTTGATTGCCAAGTGTCAATCTTTTTTTTAAAAAGATTCCTCATTCAGTTCTCTACATGAAACATATTAAACATTTCTTTATATATTATAAGAATAAAAAAATATAGAAGAAATACGGGAAAGCTTATCTTAAAGCAAGATAATTCTTCTGTGACATCCGAACAGAGAAAGTCGAATAGCCTCACCTCGTTTCCTGTGCCAAGGCGAAGAAATTAAACTTTCTTTTTTTTTAACTTTTAGTAAAATCTTCGTTCGTGACAGAAAAAAGGTTTGTATCGAACTTATGCTATAAGAAAAGAAAGGTGACATTCCGAAGCATCAGAAAATACATTTCAATTCCATTTTGATGTATAGCACTGTGTTCAAAATAAATGTTTTTTGGCTGCACTTTTGGTTTGAAAGTAATCGATATTGAAGCTTTCCCGTATTTCTTCTATATTTTTTTATTCTTATGATATATAAAGAAATGTTTAATATGTTTCATGTAGAGAATTGAATGAGGATACTTTTTAAAAAAGATTGATACTCAGCAATCAACCTTGACCGAGATATTGAGAAAATAGTGAATGAGACACTTATTCTGGGCCATCCGTTATCCGAAAACCCCCCACTAAACATATATTTTATTTTCTTATAAAATACTGTATTGAACACATTCTTCAACGTAGACGTCACGGGGTTTTTGGACTGACGTTTTGTCAGTTCCATAGATGCGTAAGATGTATTTCAATTTTCAAACGATAATTCTTTAATGTCTCTTCTTTAATCTCCTAAGACTTTTGATCATTTGAAAATCTAATTGAATTGGGTACTATGTGCATTCTTTGCAGGAGCGGCGCTCTGTTCAACAGGGAGTCTATACTCAAATCTGAACGATTGAGAGCCTGTATTCTGCTCAGAATTTTGACATCATATCTCTCCTCTTTCCGAGTAACTTTCAGTAATTTTCTCAAAGTTTTTCGTAGTTCTTGACAAAAATTTGATACGTGGTCTTATAAGACATTATAGATAAATAACGGTCATGACACAAATTCTTTTATGTTTACGTGGCGTATAGTTATGGTACATTGTATGACTGTTTACGTACTTGATTTACTAGCTTTGATATAATTGCAAGATTTAACAAACTTCTCTCGTTTAATGCTGATCCATTACTCGATGGTGTAAGTGAGGTGTCAAATCTTTGTAACAAACCATCATTACTGTCACCACTTGTCGTCATTAGCAATTTGGATCGATCAACAGTTTCTCTGTCGTCACTAATTATATGTAATTTATTCTTTTTTGTTTCATTCAAATTCGTCAAATCGTCTGATTCCCGTTTTCTATTCATAATATGATTTAGTATAATAAAACAGATAGGCTTTTTATTCTAAAAATACTGAAAAAAGAATATTCTTGTTCATCTAATTAAATTAAAAGCATAAAAAGAGATTTTATATTTCAACAAGGGAAGATGAAAGAAACACTGCTATATAAAGTAGTTCACTATGATCAGTGCCCAAAACTACTGAAACGGCAGTAGTTTTCGACGATAGTCAAACTACTTTAACTAGATAAAAGCAATATTATATAGATGGAGACTTTTAGTCATCTAACAATGTGAACATGTTCTTGAAATCCCTTGGTATTGTCTAGATCTAATCAATTCCAGTGGATATACATCAACTAATCATTACCCCATCATTTAGAGTAGTGATGATCTGTTCTACTGGAACGACTAGAATGACATTGAACAACGTAGCTTTGACGGAAATTTCAAGTAAACTAGTTAAAAATTCTACCATTTCTAGGGAACATTCTGCTCTATTTCATACAGATGCTTGAACTGAAATTTGAATTCCAAAAA